GCATTTTATGTAGACTATGTACACTATTCTAGTTTATTTGTTCAGTCACTCACCAGGTGTTCAAGAAGCCCTGACCACATACCAGACAATGCTCTGGAGTCCGCAGAGAGAGTGGTAAAGAAATGAGACAAACACTTCTTTCTGCATTGATCTTAAGTTTTAGAGGGTAGGAAAGGACAGACTGTAAAGGAAGAAAATGTGCAAAGAATGGGAAGGCTCAAAGGTGAATGGTGGATGCTAGAAAGTCTATGCTTGTGAGCTGAAGGACATGTGTCACTGGGCTAAAAGATCTGCAATGAAGCCAGGAAAACTCAGGACTTACTCAAGTAGGTAGCAGCACTCTCCAACAAAAAAACACAGCCAACCTCAGGGCATCAAGGATCCAAGCTTTTCTCAGTATATTACTTTATAATTACAGAAAGCAAATATAATCCACATTCTCACACAGATAACACAATACATCTCAGAGGAGCAGGGTGGGTTGGACACAAGCAAGCCTTTCAGGAGGCTGAAGATGTGATCAGGACAGCTGCTGCAGCTGTGAGCCTCCTGTGAAGATGATGAAGTGGGTGATGCCAGGCTGCCAACTCACAGCTCTGTCCCCACATCTGCACACAGCTTCCAGATAGGCAGCACCCTGTTTGTCTTCTCATATGGAGATGCTATGGGACCTGAAGATGCTCAGGCCCTGTCCCTGCTCACTGAAGGCTTTGGTGCCTCTTGAACACCTTCCTGGAGCCACCAGTGTCTGCATAACTGCTGAGAGGGCCTACAGTTTCCCAGTAAGCTGGAAGGGCACCAGGGAGGAACAAGGCTCTGTGTGTCCTCAGTCTCTGTCATAAACTCACCACTCCAGAAGTGCAAGTGATTTAAAAAGGTAAATTACCAAAGGTTCACTGTGATCTATCCTTTTATTCCCATTGTAGGCATTTTGCTAAGGTCTTGTTCCTGTGGACACAGATGGGGCACAGTAGGTTGTCCTGCAGGTGGGGTGGTGGGAAAGTGCCAGCAGGCAGCCAAAACAGGGCAACCCGGCTTGTCCCACATGGAACTGCAGCT